TTTTTTTTTTTTTTACATAATTGACGACAGGTAAAAAAATATTAACCTTGAAATTGCTACAAAATTGCATCATATATTTTTATTTTTCTCTACATTAACAAAAATACATTTCAAAACCCCTCCACATTTTTTATAGATAGCCTCCTAATAAATCATTATGCTGAATCAAAATCCTAGGGAGTGTGCTTCTTTGTAACCTTGAGAGTTAGTTGGTTTTGTTACATGTTCGACTTTATTAATAACGTGTATAATAATAAAACCATTTCTCTTTCAAAAACTCAAGTTTTTTACCAACACTTCAAAGGGTACTTGTAATATATACAAAACTCAATGGTTTGCATGCGATAGGAACTGAAAGAGATGAAATCGCGAAAAAGGAAAGGAACGCCTGAAAAGCCGGAGTCGCCTGGCATGCAGCTGAGTATCACCGAGTTTTATCGATCGTCCAAAACTACAGTTTGCCAGAAAAAGCATGAGGAAGATAATGCTGGAAGCAGTCGAGGTTCTTCAGAAGGCAAGAGGAAAGATTCGTCGAGTTCCAGAATTTCAAAGTCTGTTAGGCGCCGGTTATTGTTCGGTTAACTATATATAAGCTTCTACTTGAATAATACGGTGACTGTAAATTCTTTTTAGAGCCTTTTTTTGATTTTTTTTTTTTTTTTTCAAATCCTATTTTTTGCTCTTTGCTTGTAAACTTTGTGAATATGGTGTATGATGGTAATAAGGTGTGTCTAGGTTAACTCATTAACATGGTTTTGTTGACAGTTTATGTGAAGTTGAGGTTTTTGAAAATATCTTTATCATTGCAGAGAGCTCTCTCTCTCTCTCTCATTTTTTTTTTTTATATATTTGTTTATTTATGTATTTTTATGTATATGTGGTGATAATGCTGGTGTGCATTAATTAAATATAATTGAAAAGATATCTAATGAGGGTGAATTTTTGGTGAATTAATTATAATTATGCAAGGCAATTAACAAAAATAAATGCAGAATCTTGGTTAGAAAATCTTCTCAACATAAGCTGCCTTGTTTTCTCTGTTTTGTTTTGTTTTGTGTGTAAACAAGATTAAAAATAAAAAAATTTCTCACAAAAGCATGCGCCTATAGTTAATTGAAAATAGTTCATGTTTTTTCTCAAGAAAAAAAAAAAAGTTAAAAATATCATTTATTTTTTATTTTTGGAATTTTCTAATTGTTCGTGTAACTTCAATCCTAGCAATATTTCTATAAACGTAATTCTAATAGAAGAAAAAATTAAAAAAAAAAAAAACATCATGAGACATTTTCTAAATTTGCAAATCATCAAACTTCAAGGGATTTTTATTGTAATTTTCAATAATTTGTGGCACTTCTGTAATTAACAAAATAACAAGGGTATTATTGTAATTTTGGTGATTATTAGTTAGTTTCTCATGTACATATATATATATACACCTTTGTATGACACATTAAGTCATTTAATCTATTTGATCTGTGACATCTCTTTTCCTTGTTCATTTGTTTCAAGACAGCTTAATTCCAAATCAAGATATTTTATTTATTTATTTATTTATTTATTTTTCTGTCTCAGCATATTTTAAAGATGGACACAAAAGGAATATGTATTCTATTAGTGAAGGATGATCTTACATGCAACAACGTTGTGTCCCAAATGCTTCAACTTTGCAACTATCAAGGTACACAAAAAAGAATGGACAATTAATAATAAATAAACACTACTTCATGCTATGAGTTTTCATTTTATGTTTTGTTTTGTTTTTCTCTCTTCTTAGTGTTGCATGTTGGAAGTGTATTGGATGTGTTGAATGCAATATGGGAGGCCAAGAAAAGGCTCGATTTCGTTCTCACGAACGCCCACAAGTTAGAGTCGTCCAACGGCTTAGTCATCATCCAGCATATTCAGAAGAAGTTGAATCTACCGGTCGTTCGTAAGTAAAACAAAAAATAAAAAATACTTTCATTTGTGTATATTTGTGTAAAACGAACATTTTTTTTTTTCTTATTTTATGTTATTTGTAGTGATGAGTGCCGATAAAACAAAGATTTCGTCGAAAGACCAAGAATTGACTTATGCGGCTTATGTTATGAACGGTTTAAGTAAATGTGAAGTGAACAGTCTCTGGCAATTTGCATTAGGAAAGGTGAAAGAAAGAGAAGAAAATGTTCGAAAGTCATCGATTTGTAATAATTTTGAAGTTGGTGAGAAAAGCAAGATTTGTGCACTAAGTAGTGAGGATGAATGGTTTGATCAGAAAAGAAAGAGGAAAGAGTTAGTGAAGTCGAAAATCGAAGGCGTAAGGAAGAATTCGAGTGCAGTAGCGAAAAAACCGAGGGTCGTGTGGACGATGGAAATGCATCAGAAATTCTTGGAAGCCATTGAAATTATTGGATATGAGAGTAAGTTCATATTTTTTTTTTCTTCTT